CACTCCCCGGCTGTGCTGGCAGGTACCCGTATCGACGCTTGCTTTTTGTGGTGCAGCCTAACAGTAATTTCCCTGCATTTTTACAAATGAATGTTTTTCAGTAGATTAAATATCAGTGGTTACAAGGCTCATTCGACAACTCTTTGCCAGTTTAAAAGGCTGACTGAGAGCCCGTGCCAGGTGAGCCCGACCCCGGCGACAGCCAAGAGTATTTTGCGATGTGACTTCTATCGACTTTTCTCCAAAAGAGAACATAAAAAGTGTTTTGGAACTCAGTGTGTCCTGCTCTGTTAGGACTTTTACTGCTCTTCCCCAATGCTGCGCTGGGCTGCCTTGCTCCTGAGTTATCACCAAGGTTCTTTCTACTCGCATTTATCCTGTTGACAATGGATCTGTAGCAGAGATTAAAACCAGCTGATAAGGAGAGTTAAGTCTGTCTGTCTCCCCAGATAGCTGTTGAGTATTTTTTTAACAAAGAATGACTTTGTTATCACGGGAAGGAAACGTCCCCAGTGAACAACCACGGGTGAGGATGGGGGGTATCTGTGGGTTATCTCAAGTGACTCACCCTTTAATTCCCGTTATTTGCACTGCTTCACAAGTCCTCCCATCCATTCAGCTCCTAACCCTTGGCCTCTTTAGTGAACGTGCCCTGGTGCTGCTCAACGCCGTCCCCGCTGCTGGCAAAGGGGTTCAGGCCGGCTGGGTGAGCAGAGTTATGTCTGTGTATCTGCACAGCTCCAGTTCCAGGCTGCCTTCTCACAGCTGCCCCAGCCCCTCGGGGGTCCCAGTTCCCACGGGTCCAGCCAGAGCCCATCCTTGTGCAGGAAACACCAGCGTCGAAGAGCAGAGCTGCTCTCAGTGCGCAGTGGGCCCGCCTGGGCGCTGCACAGCTCGCGTGTGCCAGCCCGGCTCTGGCAGCGTGTGCTGGCACCTGGGAAGCCAGACTGCCAACACGGTGACGCGCCGTGCCCGGTCCCTGCCCCGCAGTGCCAGAGAGCAGCCCCGGGCAGGGTCTGCATGCCCCAGGCACAGCCCTTGCAGCGCTCAGGAGGAACATGGCTGCAGGTAGCACGACCGTCCCTTTCCCCAAGCTTCCGAGGTCTTTCCTGAGTGTCAGCTGGGGAAGAAGCTTCCCCACATGGACTCCAGGGAGGGGACACACAGCACAACCAACCACAGCCACTGCAGAACCAGTATTTATGAGGGTGACCGAGTCAGCTCGTTGCTCACAAGCCACTACACAGAGGTGCCAAGCAGGGCACGGCACGGCGGGGATGCGCTGCTCCGGTGGCAGCAGCGGCAGCGAAGGGGCGAGGCGGGACACGGAGCAGCGCTGGCAGATGGAGGGGTTCACCAGGGAGCCGGCGTATCGTACAGAGACCCCCCCCAGGCCCCCAGGGATGGCCAGCGAGAAGCGATAGGACCAGCTTACCCGCAGTCCCTGGCTCCTGGCAGGATGCAGATGACCCTGCAGGTCCAGCACGACTGCAGGGAGCAGAGCATCCATGCTGCAAGGCCTGGCAGCTCAGCAACCTCGTGCTCGACTGATTGCTTCCTCCACATATTTCTTCCAAAATGAGCTAAAACTCCCCTCCCTTCCAGTTTAGGCTGCCCATGGGCAAACCAGCCGGGGTGGCTGCAGCAGTGCTGCTGGGGACCCCCGCTGACACCACGGCAGCCAGGTGAGCCCCAGCACACAGGGATGCTCGCTGGGGAGCGGGCAATACCGAAAAGCACTCACAGAGCCCATCCTGAGCCACAGAGAGCCCTCGAGGGGCATCACAGGGGGCTGAGCCCCCCACCCCAGGGCAGGCGGCAGCGCAGGCTGTGCTGCTGGGGTGCAGGGGAGCGGGGAGCCCAGCCCAGGGATGCTGCCGGGGACCTCCAGGGACAAGGCGACAAATCTGGGCTCCTGGGCACCGAGACCCAGCTCAAGGCTGGGGCAAGAGCCTGGCCCTGGCAGGACCACGGCAGCACCTTACAGCCAGGCTTCCAGCCCACCCTGGAACAGCCGATGCCAGCGGCTGGGGA